GTCTCTGTAAATCCACTCGCTGACAGCAGGTGGCGCTTATGGAAAAGCAGAATTACAGCTGTTTCCCGTAACCTCCGTGCACAAAGCAGTATTGCGATTAAGAACACTTCCTTTAGGTATTACATGGAGCGAAGATGAAAACAAAATGCCATCGAATCGTTTCCGAAGACAGTCAGAACCTTCAGAGGTACAATCAAATAATTAATTCATTCATATATTCATTTGTATAATTCCCTTAGCACTCTTTTAAAACCTCCCAGCTTTTCTGTCCTGTTTTCACTCAAAACGAAACTACTCTGCATTCTGTGCGCACGTGAGACTGTTACTGAAAACTGTGCTTTATGCTGGACAGTATTTAGTTATCGCGAGTTGTTCAAATCGCGGTAATCTAATACGGTTTTAATGATAATTAAAAGATGAAATGGTAATACTAACCGTCGGGAATTTTATCATGATTTATCGTCAAACCGGTAATCGTTACATCCCTAATATACTGTATATATATATATATAAATAAAAGACACAAAACAAATAGGAACATTATTTAATCAATTAATCATTTGATCCAATCTTTTGATCTAGTACATTGAATAAATTTCCTGAATTAACTTATTATCATCAGTCAATTTTGATAAATTTAATGTGATCTTGTTGAATATATTTTTAAATGATTATGAATAAATTATTATTAATTTGTTTAAAAAAAACAAAAAAACAATCACCATGAACTTGTACATGTTTATGCCATGTTGCTATTCATGTTTAAGTCCTTAATTGTGTTTCTGGCAGATAAAATATTGCGTTTACTGCAAAAATAAACTGAAAACATTTTCTTCTTTAACTTATTTTCCAGCTTCAACTTAAGTTATCTACCTTTTGTTAGTAGTAGCTACATTAAAAACAACAACAACATGCATTGACTCACCAGAGTTCATCCACGACTCTCACCAGCACAAAGAACGTGTTTTTACTGACGCGCTTCCTAAAGGTGTCTGGACTGTGACAGAACCGAGTATATGTGCAGCGCAGTTAAGAAAAAACACACCATGCAAACTGACTGCTGCTACTAACAGATAAAAATAAACCACACAGTAGAAAGGATATCTGTAGTGTAGTTTTTTAATGAGGTCTTCAGGCGTTATGAAGGTTCTGTAGGTTGTGAGGAAAGCCTCGCAGTACAACACCAAATCTACAACACAAACAGACAAATATGATTACTATGCATGCACTCAAGATATACAGCAAACCTCCATCACACAAACACTGCAGGAATCAATCAGCCTACAGACACTCTAATGCAAATTATAACAGAAAACATACTGACTGATCGAGCTTCATATGAAGAAAGCATGTGAATTACCTTTGCGGTCTGTTTCTGTAGCGTGAACTAACAGTATATCACCAGAGCCGGCTCTCACATCAGGACCATCATCATTCTATCAGAGAGAGAGAAATATTACTGCAGGCAACTGAAGTCCGGCTGCCCATCGCAGCACTGCACCAGCTGACGTCTGTCTGTGTGTGTGTGTGTGTGTGTGTGTGTGTGTTTTAGACTGTTTCAACCACTACAGAATTACTTTCTAAACACTGGAGGAAACAGACAAAAGCTCTGACCTTGTCAAAAAACACAATACATCAAATACACACATACAAAAGATTTCCAACAGAACTCTGTTAGCTTCATTCCTCTGTGATTCCTCTTTCTTTACCAATAAATAACACAGCATATTTTTAACTCAAATTAATATTTTTTTTCAATCTATTGATTTATCTGATAAGCCATGTAATAAGCAGAATAATGAACATGACATGCGGAATTAATCCTACAGTGATTTTATTTTGCAGTAATGATTGGCTGACTGTACATCACATACATAATTATGCTAATTTGATTGTCAATTTACATACTATTTGTGCCTCTAGAGTTTTGTCATCTGTAAAGTAAGTACTAATTCAGTTCTAAACAATTTTTGTTTAACCAATGAATCTCCATGAATTATCAGTTGTTTGTGGTATGCCCTCGCATAAGACCAATTTCTACGTGATGAAATTGTTTATATATTTGCATAACTTTTAAGATTTTAAGAATTTTCAAAACTTTTCCTGAAGTGGAAATTTTAAAATATGAACATATTGAAATACATGCACGGTATAGCATCTTTGCATAACTTTTTTTTTTTTTTTACATTTCTATGACTTTTAAGATTTTAAGAATTTTCAAAACTTTTCCTGAAGTGGAAATTTTAAAATATGAACATATTGAAATACATGCACGGTATAGCATATTTAAAAATATCCATATTTAAATGAAGCATACATGGATAAATAAATAAATGCATTAAAAAAAAAAAAACATAAAAATGCATGATAAAATCCATTACAAATGCATAAATACACAAATAAATCCATGCATAAATAAATGCATAAATGCATGCATAAATAAATCCATGCACAAATGCAAAAATAAATGTTTAATTAAATAAATGCATAAATCCAGGCAAAAGTGGACAAATAAATGCACAAATAAATTCATGCATAAATGCATGAATAAATAAATGCATAAACAAAAGCATGAATAAATAAATACAAATAACCAATCAAATCAATGCTAATATTCCCAGGTTTATCATGACTGTGCTCATCCTGGCTTTTGGTTTGAGAGGTTTAAACAGTATTATTACCTCTGCTTTGAGTGTGATGCGGCTCATAATCTCATTATGATCAATGAGGGACAGTTCATCAACATCATCGATCTGACCATGACTGGGTTCCTTCGGCCTGTGAGCGAGAGAAAACATATCACAAGTATTTACATATCTCTAACCTGTCCATATGACAGCAAACACACACGTACAAAGACTGGAGTTCATACCTGTCCTTAGACAAGGCTTCCTTGCTATTGGAGGTGGGTATGTGAGGGGTGTGGTCCTGAAGCACATCGTCACATGATGAGGGGTCCTGAAGAATTCAGACAAATGTATAATTGCACTCCAAACACATGCACACACAGCTTAACGCAATGACACGCATACTTACAGTGCGGTGTGTGTTTTCTCCATTAGCCTGTGTGGAGGAGTACAGGTTCACATACTCTCCCTCACCGCCTTCATCCACACTTTCACTCTAGAGCAAAAACAACAGGGACAACCGCCACAGATCGGTCAGACAGCCAGCAAATATTCACCATCAAACACACCATGTGAACGTTTCTCATGACATACAGGAAGAATGTGAATTCTGTGTTGCATTCTGTGCAAAATACCATTTTAATTACCATCAAATTACAGATGTCTCTTTTATTCATTCAGAAAACTCAAGACTTTACTCTGAAAACAAATTAATTACATGCAGTGTCTATTGAGCACTAGATGGCGCTCGTTGACATTATTTTGCACAATGTAAATTCACATTCACAAGGACCTGCACATAATCTGAGTCCACACTGCATTTTCATGAAAGTTAGAGATAAAGTTAAAGGCAATTATGCATGTGTGTCTAAGGTAGCTATGCTTTTCAGACAACTGCAACTCCTTTTGGAGACGTCTTTCGTGGGAAAATGTCATTCATGCTTTATTTTTAATTCTAGAAATGCAATACATAAAGTTATGTAGTGATTATGGTTTGATTCATTTAAAATTAAATAAGTCCATATTTATATAACTGCTGAACATGTGTGTGAGTTTTTGAGGGCGTGTTTACCGCAGAGGTAAGAAGTGAATCAGAAAGAGAAGACTCGGAAGGAAGACAGACGGCCAGAGAGACCAGAGAGCTGGTCAAGGACCCGTTAGAGACACCCCCACCATCTAGAGCTCTGCCGGCATTGGTCAAACCAACCAGATCGGAACTCTGCGATCAGTCGAGACAGAAGAAATGGGAGAGGAAAGATGGAATCAGAGGAAGTATATGGAAGAAATCTGAAAAGGAGGAAAAAGATTGGAGAACGGAGAGGGAAATATGTTCCATTTTGCATAAAATACTAGGACAGTGAGTTATAACTATAAAGAGAAAACCTCCAACAGACGAAACAACACATCACTGGACAAGTCAAATCCTGGCTGAACTTCCGGATGTTACTCAGAGGGATTACAGCACCTGCAGGGACTCGCCCGGATCACCAACAACATTCCAGATCATCCCATTACACACACACACAGCAAACATGGTCCAACATGTTTCCCTGAGAGATCGGGATGAGCATCCCCCATTCTATTCTGTCTGGGACATTCCAGCATGTAAGCATTCCACAGAGACTCAGAGGGAGCGAGGAAAAGAGATAGAAAGAGAAAAAACTTCCATATGGTTTCTCACAATCTTACACACACATACACACACACACACACACACACACACACACACACGGACGGGTTCGTGGACAGAGTCCGAGTTGCTGTAGGAATCGTTGAAGCCGTAAACCTCCTGAAAGCGCTTGTTTCTCCGCTGCTCGTAAATACTCTCGTTCTGAGGCGTCTGATAGAAGACGGACGGCTGTGGTTCAGAGTAATCCTCCACAAACTGCATGTACTGGAGAACTACAGAGAGAAAAGAGTTACACACATGAAATAGAGCCATTTTCTTGATTTCTATTTCACAATAAAAAAAACTACTGTATTCTTTTATTTAGATCTATGAAAATGCAGATCCTGTTGTAGGTAACAGTGAAAAAATTATATCAACTTAAACTGAAATAACATCTTGTATTACAGTAATTACATGAGAAAGAGTGTTTTGGTACTGAGAACTGACTAATTCATTTAAAAATATTAAAATAATCTGCCAATGCATACAATCTTGAAATGGGCTTAATTTTTCTTATGCAAAATATAATATTTCTAAATGTGGTTTTATATATAATGAAGTTTTATTCTCTCCTGTAATGGTATTTTTTCAGTTTTATGTGCTTTATTGGCATGACAAAAAGTGTACATTTTATTTCTAAGTCAGTGCAAATAAAGCAAAATAACAAAAGTGCAAATGGCAAAATAATATATATATAATTATATAATTTAAAAAAAAATCCTTTGCTACGTGTACTGCGTTAAGCTAACTGAGACTTGTTATAGCACTTGCATATTATTTCTCTTTTGTTGGTTTGGTTGCTTCCATTGTCCTCATTTGTAAGTTGCTTTGAATAAAAGCATCTGCTAAATGACTAAATGTAAATGTACATATATATATATATACACACATACATACACACACACACACACAATTTAAATATCAAATTACTTTTTCGATTTACAGTAATAAGGGAGAGTTTAATGAGAACTGACCAGTTTAATTAAAGGTAACCGATAGACTTAATTTAAAAATATTGAGTTAGCTGATTAATTGATTTGGCAATGCATAAAATCTTAAATCTTCTTAATCTTCTGTGCAAGAAACTGAACAGTATTTATATAATTTTTTACCTCTGATCCACCACAATGTCCAACTGTCCTGAGCGCGTTCACAACGTCCAATGAGTGAGGTATACGCGCGACAGATCGCTTCCGCTCATGCGTCTACTATGCCAGAGCACGTACACGCATCACACGCCGGATGTTGTGAACGCGCTCAGGACAGTTGGACATTGCGGTGGATCAGAGGTAAAAAACTATATAAATACTGTTCAGTTTCTTGCACAGACCGATTGTTTCGTGTCTTAAGACCTCAATGTATCGTCACGAGCCGCAAATTTCCCACAGCATGTGAGTTCTGACTTTGGAACCCAATCTAATCTGCATCTATTTCACAAAAAGCAAAAAAAACACATAGTTAATCCATATTTTCCAGTTAACTTTACAGTGACCCTGATGTGGCCACAAAAACAGTCACGTGTTGCCTAATCTAAAGAAGCTCAGTTTGACCTCTGACCGTCAGGAGCTTAACCTCTGACCTGCTGCATGCTCCGCGCCCTCAGGCACTCACGCTCATGCTCAGAACTCACCAGCTGTCTTTGTTTGGGAGGCAGCGCTGGCGGAGGGACGGGTTCGTGGACAGAGTCCGAGTTGCTGTAGGAATCGTTGAAGCCGTAAACCTCCTGAAAGCGCTTGTTTCTCCGCTGCTCGTAAATACTCTCGTTCTGAGGCGTCTGATAGAAGACGGACGGCTGTGGTTCAGAGTAATCCTCCACAAACTGCATGTACTGGAGAACTACAGAGAGAAAAGAGTTACACACATGAAATAGAGCCATTTTCTTGATTTCTATTTCACAATAAAAAAAACTACTGTATTCTTTTATTTAGATCTATGAAAATGCAGATCCTGTTGTAGGTAACAGTGAAAAAATTATATCAACTTAAACTGAAATAACATCTTGTATTACAGTAATTACATGAGAAAGAGTGTTTTGGTACTGAGAACTGACTAATTCATTTAAAAATATTAAAATAATCTGCCAATGCATACAATCTTGAAATGGGCTTAATTTTTCTTATGCAAAATATAATATTTCTAAATGTGGTTTTATATATAATGAAGTTTTATTCTCTCCTGTAATGGTATTTTTTCAGTTTTATGTGCTTTATTGGCATGACAAAAAGTGTACATTTTATTTCTAAGTCAGTGCAAATAAAGCAAAATAACAAAAGTGCAAATGGCAAAATAATATATATATAATTATATAATTTAAAAAAAAATCCTTTGCTACGTGTACTGCGTTAAGCTAACTGAGACTTGTTATAGCACTTGCATATTATTTCTCTTTTGTTGGTTTGGTTGCTTCCATTGTCCTCATTTGTAAGTTGCTTTGAATAAAAGCATCTGCTAAATGACTAAATGTAAATGTACATATATATATATATACACACATACATACACACACACACACACAATTTAAATATCAAATTACTTTTTCGATTTACAGTAATAAGGGAGAGTTTAATGAGAACTGACCAGTTTAATTAAAGGTAACCGATAGACTTAATTTAAAAATATTGAGTTAGCTGATTAATTGATTTGGCAATGCATAAAATCTTAAATCTTCTTAATCTTCTGTGCAAGAAACTGAACAGTATTTATATAATTTTTTACCTCTGATCCACCACAATGTCCAACTGTCCTGAGCGCGTTCACAACGTCCAATGAGTGAGGTATACGTGCGACAGATCGCTTCCGCTCATGCGTCTACTATGCCAGAGCACGTACACGCATCACACGCCGGATGTTGTGAACGCGCTCAGGACAGTTGGACATTGCGGTGGATCAGAGGTAAAAAACTATATAAATACTGTTCAGTTTCTTGCACAGACCGATTGTTTCGTGTCTTAAGACCTCAATGTATCGTCACGAGCCGCAGGGTTTAATTTGGTTTTGTCTGTGTATGTTTTTTTTACTCTCAAAGCCATGGAGCCCATTGACTGCCATTATAAGACTGACAGAGAACGGTTTAAGTTAAAAATCTTCGTTTGTGTTCTACTGAAAAATCAAAGTCACCTACATCTTGGATGCCCTGGGGGTAAGCAGATAAACATCAAATTTTCATTTTTGGGTGAACTATCCTTTTAAATGGCCCTAAAAATAGGCTTTATTTTGTTATACACAATATTCTTACTGATTCGTTTTACAAAATATGACCCAGACAAGAGACCCACTAAAAAAAAAAATATATATATATATATATGTAAAATTGTTCTCTTACTCTGCTTGCCCTTCTTCTCTGGCAACGGCGGCGGGCTGTCGGTGTCGGTACAGCGTGAGAAATCATCGTCTCCTCCATTGACCTGCGGCAGCGGCGAGGCCAGCATCAGCAGCGGGAACGGTGGCGTCAGCTGCTCCTCTTCTGACAGGTTCTCGTAGTGCGATGGGAAGCGCTCGTAAATAGGGTATGCCGATATGATCGGCGCCGACCGCCGCTTCTTCTGCGGGAGGGCGGGGGGAAGCACGCTATTGGTCAGTGCAGGTGTGAGGGGCGGGGTCCAGTACTCCAGGGAAGCATGATTGGTGACGGGAGCGCTGAAACGCGGGCGGGTGGGGGCATGGGCGGGGCTTAACGACTGAGACTGCCCGTGGCATTCTGGGAGAGGGCTCAGACTGCTGCCAGTGCCCGTCGGAAACGGTAAAGGCTCGGATTCGGATAGATCCTGATGCAGGAAGTCGTAATCAGGATCGTATCCCTCTAAAGACAAAGAAAGAGAGGATCATATCCTGGTAAGTGTTCAAAAACCTTCAACTTTTATTCGTAATAGAGTTTGCATACCTAGTGTTTCACAGCTAGTGTTGCGAGAGCACTGGCCGCTGTCTCGCTCCTGTGACGAGAGCTGCTCGTCGGACTTGCTGAGTTTTCCCATACTGTTACAGGGAGAAAGACGAGGAGAATCCCCGCCGTATGACTGGCTCCCTCCGGAGAAACGCCTCTGGAGGAGATCCACGTCAAACTCCTGCTGCTTTAAACACAGATCATGTGACAAAAACATCGTCGCTCTAGGTTTTGACACATCCATTGTTTTAAAATAATTCTCTGAATGCACACTGTAATGACATGCAAAACTATTATATGTGATTTTGAATGAAGTTTTGAATATGATTTTATTATTATACGCGGTTTTGAATTTTGCATGTCTTTATGAAGTTTTATGCTCTCTCTTTGTTTTTAGCTTTACTGGCATGACAAAAACTGTCCAATCATTTTTATTTAATTTATTTTATTTTATTAAATGTGTGTGTATATATATAGTATTTATAGAGTTTTAGCTTTTAGTTTTAATTACTTTTTCTTATGTGTAAGTCGCTTTGGATAAAAGCATCTGCTAAATGACAAAGTAAAGTAAAAGTAAGTAAAGCAGTGCAAATCAAACTAAATAACAATAGTGCAAAATTGGTCAAATAGAATTAATGTAAATTAAAATAAAAAAATCTAAAATTAAATAAATGAAAAGTAAAAATTTTAAAAATATTTTTTTTTAGCTTTGGCTGTTTCATGGTTTCCTGTGTACGCAGATATTTCTTTAGACGAGGAGAAAAAAAAAAGATCGGCTAGGGAAAGCTCGGGCTTTGTGTGGATGTAGCCTTAGTTAATGATCAGAACACCGATCAAAACACCATTCAATATTACACACTTCACTTTCAAGTTAAGAAATCAGCATGACACTTCTTGTTGTGGTTAAAAAATAATCAATAATCAGGATTAGGCACGGTGTAAAGGTCAAGGGTCGTGCTCAGGTGCTGTACCTGTCTAAGAGCTCCAGGAGGCAGGTTGAGACCACATGGGACTCGACTCATCGGCGCTACCACGGCAACACGTGTGGGGGAGGGGGCCGACTGTCGCTTCTTGGGAGGCAGAGCGGGCGCGCTATGGCACAGTATGCAGAAATATGCAAATGAGCTCACAAGTATGAAACAAACAATGTAACAAGGTCAAACGAAACGAGCACAGACAGTCTACACACAGTTAGTGAGGGTCTAGCCTGGAATTTAATTGGACACACACACAAATGCTAACACACACATAGAAGTAGCACAGCGGTGGAATGTGTGGTGGGTGGTGAGTTCAGAACTTGGGTTTCCCTGACAATTCTTTACACTTCAATGAAGCTCTAGCGGGTAACCACGGCAACATTCGAATAAACTAATCATAGAACACCCAGTGGGAGGGATTAGAGCGGGATGCAGCGCTAGTCAACAATCCTGACGGAATGCATACAGGATTCCATTTGGAATTTTTGGAATAATTTGACAAAATATGTAAAGGATCCAAATTGGGAATCAATTAGAATCTTCTAAGGGTTTAATTAAATTAAATTAAAAACAACTGAATAAACAGAAATTTTAACAGGAGTTCTACTAGATATTTTAAGGGATAGTTCACACAAAAATTAAAATCTGTCATCATTTACCCTCAAACCTGTATGAGTTTCTTTCTTTGTTGAGCACAAAAGTTATTTTGAAAAATGTCAGTAACCAAACAGTTGATGGTAGCCATTGACTTCCATAGTATTTTATTCCCCCTACTACGAAAGTCAACGGCTACTGTAAACTGTTTGGTTACCAACATTCTTTAAAAAGATATTTTTTGTGCTCAACTCATACAGGTTTGAGGGTGAATAAATGATAACATTTTCATTTTTGGGGGAAGTATTTTTTAGTATTTGAAAAATCCTGAAAATAATATTTTGATGTACTAAAGGAGAAATGTATCCTATTGAGAATTATGATATTCCTATTGGGACTAAAACTAAAACTGAAACTTAAACAATAATTGTTTTCATGAAAATGTTAACTGAAATAAAATAAATAATAT